TTTAAAAAAAAAAAAAAAAAACAGAGTTTTGCTCTTGTTGCCCAGGCTGGAGTGTGGGGGTGTGATCTCAGCTCATTGCAACTTCCATCTATCACCTGGGTTCAAGCGATTCTCCTGCCTCAGCCTCCCAAGTAGCTGGGATTACAGGCGCGTGCCACCACACCCAACTAATTTTGTCTCCTGGTTTCTGCTTTATTTGTTGTCCCTAGTATAAGAAGAAAAGCAACCTTGATGTTATTGCACACATTATAGGCTGCAACACACACAGCATTCTTGACTGTTCTGGCTGGCTGCCTTTAACTGTCTTGCCAGAGCATATTTACTATTTCCCCATCGTATATAATCCTTAGGTCTGGGGAGTAACAGATCTACCTGTCTTGTGGCCACTGAAGACCACGCTTCTGTCTGTAAGTTACCTCAGCAGATCATCCTTCACCACCAAGCTGGATTTGTCAGCCTCCTTTGGTTTCTTGGCTTCTTTGGCATTTGGGGGTCGCTCTGCATATCCGGCCCTTTTGCGGAACACTGGCTCACTCACATGTTTATTGGTAGGATTCAGTTTCTCATGAGCTGTCAGCTGGAGGCTTCCCTTGGTCCTTGTCACATAGGCCTCTCTGCAGAATATCTCACAACATGGCAGCTTATTTTGTCAGAGTAAGCAAGAGACTTTTAATTATTTTGAAAACAATGAATTTAGAAAAAAATCAAATGTGTGGGCTGGGCATGAACAAGAGGCATGGATAGATTTGCAGGTGTGGATAGGATGTTTTCAAGCCTGGTGACCCTTCTGCAGGTGGGTGGACCTCCGTGCCTGGCTGACCAGCTGTGTGGGATGCTTCCCACATCTCTAAGTCTCTTCCACATCATATGGAGCACAAGGAACAGCCTGGGTGGAAATGGAGGAAGTCCTAATGACTCTTCTCAGCAAATGACTGAGAAGAGGAGCTCATGATAAATGTGCTTAACTACACAAGCAGCCAAAGGCCACAGGAACCACTGATCATTCTGTGTAGAATTCATCTCATGGGAGCTGCCTACTGCTGATGGACATAAACACCCAGAAGGGGGTCTCTGGAGCTTCCTTGGGATTTCATCACAAGAAGACTCCTCTGGGGAGTCAGCTTGCTTTGAAGGTAACTGCTCCTTTCCTGCCAAAAACAGTTACCTGAGGCACAAAATGTATTACAGAGAGGTAATATGGTAAACACTGGTGAAAATGGAGGGGTTGGGAGCAGCAGAACCCACTGTAGCGTATAATCACCCTCATCCCAGCAGCTGATACTGAACACTTACTGTGTCTTAGGGATGGTTCCAAGTGCTTTTCACACATTATCATTTCACTTCACCTGTGAAGTAGTCACTGTGTTTCCAATTTTCTTGACGAGAAAACTTGCACAGACAGGTTTATAAATCACCCAAGGTCACCAAGCTGTAAGTGGCTGACCTGGGGTTTGAACTCAGCTGCCTGTACCCCTAGCCATTCCACCGTACGGCCTCCAGGGGAGGGCTTCTCTCCAGCACAGCCTAAAAACGAGTTAAAAATATCAGCATTCATTGAGTCCTTATTATATTTCCCAGGGCTAGGAGAGATGCCATGGGAAACATTTGGTATTCTTGAGTGGCAGGGTGGCTCCTGGAGTGTGAATTTTGTGTGTATGTAAAAGATACATAACATAAAATGTACCATTTAAGCCATTTTAAATGTACAGTTCAGTGGCTTTAAGATTTTTGTATTATTGAGGTGAAATTCATATAACATAGAGATGTTAAAATTTTTTAATTTTAAATTTAAAAAAATTTTAATTAATTTTAAAATAAGGCCATTTACAAATTTTTATTTTTTTGTTTATAATTTTTTTGTAGATACAGGGTCTCCCTATGTTGCCCAGGTTGATCTCAAACTCCTGGACTGAATCAATCCACCTGTCTCGGCCTCCCAAAGTGCTAGGATGATTGGTGTGAGCCACCACATCTGACCAAAATATTAGCCATTTTAATGTGAACTAGTTGGAGGCATTTAGGACTTTCACGGTATTGCACAACCACCACTTTGGAAAGTTCAAATACTGTCATCACCCCAAAAGGAAGCTCTGTAACTAATAAGCAGTTTCTCCCCATTCCCTGTCCCTCCTGTCCTGGTAACCACCAATCTGTGTTCTGTCTCTGTGGATCTACCTATTCTGGATATTTTATATAACTTGAATCATAAAATATGTGACCTTTTGTGTCTAACTTCTTTTACTTGAAGTGCTTTTGTGGTTCATCCACATCATGTATCAATACTCCTTTTTTATGACTGCATAATATTTTATTGTGTGTATATATACAATTTATCCATTCATCCATTGATGGAGATTTGGGCTGTTTCTACCTTTAGGCTATTGCAAATAGTGCTGCTATGAACATGTGTGTACATGTACTTATTTGAGTAGCTGCTTTAAATTCTTTTTGGGGGTACTTAGGAGTGGAATTGCTGGGTTATATAGCAATTCTTTTCTGTTTATTTATTTTTGTTTTTTGGGATAGAGTCTTGCTCTGTCGCCAGGCTGGAGTGCAGTGGTGCTACCTTGGCTCATTGCAACCTCCACCTCCCGGCTTCAAATGTTTCCTCTGTTGCAACCTCCTGAGTAGCTGGGACTACAGCCACGTGCCACTATGCCCAGCTAATTTTTTGTATTTTAGAAGAGTTGGGTTTCACCATGTTGGCCGGGATGGTCTAGATCTCCTGACCTCGTGATTCACCCGCCTCGGCCACCCAAAGTGCCAGGATTACAGGCATGAGACACCGTGCCTGGCCAATTATATGGTAATTCTACATTTAACTTTTTGAGGAGTCACCAAATTGGAAGGTGACATTTTGACATTAAAATCTTTCATTGGGAGCTTGGTTATGAATAAGAGAAATATGTGTGGTGTAGTGAAGATGCAGACTGGCCTGGTTTTGAATTTCTTCTCTACCACTTGTTAATAGCATGTGCATAGCTTAGTTATGAGTCTCTTTGAGGCTCAGTTTTCTTATCTGTAGAAATGGAGATGTTGATAACATTCATTCATTCATTCATACAGTGAATCTGTCGAGGGCTCACTGTGGGCCAGGCACTGGAGATATAGTGAGAATTCATAAAGTTTACAGAATGAGGGTTCAGGAGAGAAAGGGAAGGACCCAGGGGTGAATTATTTTGGAAAGGGAAAAATCATTTTGTCATGGGAGTAATCACTCCCTTACATCATAGGTACATAGTGAGTACACAAGTGGGCCTGCACGTTATTCCTCTCTATCCCAGCACCGAACACAAGACCTACAAAAACAGATATGTTATTTAGGGTTCTGGGGTTGTAAGCAATAGAAACTGACTAGCTCAGTTTAATGAGGATTACTAGGAAATGATTGGGATAGCTCCAGAATCAAAAGAAGAGATAAACAATCCTCAGGGAGGCCCTGAAGAGCCTAGGCAGTGACAGGAATTTCAGTGACAACTGTTTGTGGCCCAGCCTCTCTTGGGGCTGTTCCTTAGAGAGCCTGCTCCAACCTTTGCCTCTCACCTGAGAGTCTCCTGCCCCAGGTCCCAATGTCTGATTGCCCCAGCACAGGGCACGTGGGGCAGGGCTGCTGCCTATAATTGCAATTAGGCTTTGTAAACTTCAGGGGTTACTCATCGTAGTCATCAGAGGTTTGAACATTCATTGTGACAATTTTCTAGTAAATAGCACTAAAGTGTCTTGAGGAAAAGTGTCTTTGTTCAAAGTCACAGTTGGGGCAAAAAGAGTAAAACTCTACCTGGGACTGAAAGTGAAAATCAACTTGTCCTGGAAACGAAACAGCAGGTTAAGAGGACAGAAAAGTTAAAGCCAGCTACAAAGCCTGCAAGAAACATTGTTCCTCCCAAAGTCATGTAGTGGCTGTGAAATGCTATAAGGACCCTCTGCAAGTGGCCACTGCTCTCTTACCTAGGACCAAAGACAAAGGCAGAGGCATGCTTTGTTATTCTCATCTAATACTGGGGATAACCAATTGCTCAGCCACCCTGGCCTCATGACAATGCTCAATCCCTAGTTAATCCTTGCTCCTCTTAATCCCTCATCCAAAACAGCATCCAATCCAGAACTGATTCCTGCTTTCCTTCAACCCTCTTTAGAATCCTTGGGCAGGAACCCACATCTTGCAAGATAGCTGCTCTCCTTCTGGAGATCTTCTGGACTGCCCCACCTCACTGCTTGGAGACAAGAAATCTGATTTCGTCAGACTGTAAGCTCATTCCTGGTGGCCTCTGGCTGATCAAGTTTTAAAGAAACTGTCAGGGATTGGAATAGAGGACTGTGATTGGCAGTCCCACCAGAACAATGGGACGGGGATAGGCAGTTCCCCAAAGGAGAATGGAGTGCTGTCATCAGGAAAAGGTGAAGGTATTGGGCATCCAGACCCAATGGATGGCTCTTGGAGTAGGTGCTCAAGTAATGCTAGTTGTTATTTGTGAGGTTGTGTTTTGGAGACACTACAACAAATTACATAAAATTATAGATTATAATAATGCATAATAATGATTATTTACCATGTGCCAGGCACGGTATGTCTACTACCTCATTTGATTCTTAGCAAATTCACACTTACTTTATAGGTCTCCCCAGTTTCTAGGACACGCTTTCTGTGTCGGGAGAGTCATCCAGCCTGAGTGCTCGTGATGTCCCACTCATCAAAGGGACACAAAGAAAAGATGGCAGGTTGCTGTCATCTCAGGATCCCATCTCGGTATCTAGGCCAGCCTGACAGCGCTCCTTAGATCCCTGTGGATCTCTGCATGGCATGTGAAGTCCAAAGGGGCTTCAGCCCCAACTCATTCTGCTTCAGGGCCGGGACCCATGCTCTGCTCTGGCAGCACTAATGACAATAATAATCACTAAAAACACTTAGAGGCTGTTTTACTACCTGCCAAGGACTGTGCTAAGAGCTTTCCATGTGTCATCTCATTTAACAGTTGAGGAAACGGAGGCCTGAAGATGTTCCTTATGAAGGTCACACAGTTGATAAATGAAAGAGCCAGGACTCAAATCAGAAGCTATCTAGAGCTCATGGGCTAAACCACAGGCTGTATTGCTCGGCTGATCTGTGACCATCTGTAAATGCAGCCTCTTAATAGTTTTTACTCGTTAATTTATGTGCACATTTATATGTGAATATATATATATATATATATATACACTTTTTTTTTTTTTTTTTTTTTTTTTTTTTTTTTTTTTTTTTTTTTTTTTTTTCTTTTTTTTGAGACTGAGTCTTGCTCTGTCACCCAGGCTGGAGTGCAGTGGCTCAATCTTGGCTCATTGCAACTTCCTCCTCCTGGGTTCTTGCAATTCTCCTGCTTCAGCCTCCTGAGCAGTGGGATTGTGAGAACACACTGCCACACCCGGCTACTTTTTTAGTAGAGACAGGGTTTCATCATGTTGCCCAGGCTGGTATCGAACTCCTGACCTCAGGCAATCTGCCGGCCTTGGCCTCTCAAAGTGCTGGGATTACAGGCATGAGCCACTATGCCCAGCCATGTGAATATATTTTTAAGTGAATTAACATATAAAGCCTAATTAGCACAAGGACTTGCTCATGAGACTATTGTTATTATTGTTATTATTTTGACATGGGGTATCACTCTTGTCACCCAGGCTGGAGTACAGTGTCACAGTCATGGCTCAGCCTCCCAAGTAGCTAAGACCACAGGCATGCACCATACCTGGCTAATTTTTCTTTTCTTTTTTTACTTTTGTAGAGATAGAGGAGGTCTTACTATGTTAACCTAAGTTGGTCTCAAACTCTGAGCTCAAGCAGTCCTCCTACCTTGCTTCTCAAAGTGCTGGGATTATAGGCGTGAGCCACCATGTCTAGACAAGACTGTCGTTATTATTTCAATTACAAATGGACGTGTTCTTGACAAGTATATAAGTCAAATCCTATTCTGTTTGTAACTTTAGCTTGTGGTTCCCATTTTATCTTCATTGCTCAGCAATGCACAGTTCACCACAGCTCTTAAATGCTCTCTTATCTCTCCCCTGAACATCTGCCAGACTGCTCCCTTGCACGCTTAACATGGCAAACACAGGCAAGTTCCTGAAAAATAAGAGCAACTCTTAGCAAATTCTTTAGGGAAGGAAAGAATCCTGTTGTCATGGGACATATGTCCTCACCCTCTGATTTTTCTGTTCATAATCTCAGGAATCCTCTCCAGGATTTGAGGAGGAAAAGGTGGAACAGAGTCTATGACCACTGTTCCACACACTGAGGAAAGCCCAGGGGAGTCTCTTTGTCACTGACAGTAGCCAGCATGGCTCAGATTGTGGGCTCTGACCACCAGCAACACCTTCCTTGTGGGCATCTGGATAAAGATGCAGGCTCATGGGTCCACCTTGACTTACTGGGGCCATGTCTCAAGGATGGTGCCCATGACCCTGCATTTTTAGCACATGTCCTAAGCTATAGTCTTATTCTAACGTTAAGGGGAGGAACCTGGGGCAGGACTGCAATCACCGTTAGAGGAGCGAGTATGTTTACAAAGTGCCTCATAGATTACTGCCTTTCTGTAACTGGAGCCAGGTTTGTCTGCTCTACTCTGCATTCAAACACCAAGCACCACCGGGCGCAGTGGCTCACGCCTGTAATCCCAGCACTTTGGGAGGCCGAGGTGGTGGATCACCTGAGATGAGGAGTTCAAGACCAGCCTGGCCAACATGGTGAAACCCCATCTCTACTAAAAATGCAAAACTTAGCTGGGCGTGGTGGTGGGTGCCTGTAATCCCAGCTACGCAGGAGGCTGAGGCAGGAGAATTGCTTGAGCCCAGGTGACAGAGGTTGCAGTGAGCCGAGATCACCACTGCGCTCTGCCTTGGGCAACAGAGCAAGACTCAAAAAAAAAAAAAAAAAAAAAAAAGAAACAAACATAAGAGGTGAACTAGCGTTGTAAAGGACCATCTTAAATTTTAACACTTACCATTGGGTTTTTAAAGGGAAACTTGTGTGTGGGAGACATGCGGGAGCGGTGCAGGGTGCAGTATCTGTGTATCTGTGTGTCTTGTTCTGATGGCTGTCTTGGCTAACTGGGCTAATTGCCTGCTCTGAGGTCTGGCTGGTGTAATCTTGATTTTGGCCTGATGGTGGTGGACAAATTGTTAGTTACTCCCCCTAAACAGGATTCCAAAAAGGGGACTCTATGCCTGGTTTCAAGATTAGCCTCTGGGATTTTTTAAGCAAGAGCATAATTATATCACCTTAGCACGCATAGCCAGAGGGAGTGTCCACAGGGGAGAAAAAGGAAGAGATGAGAGGGGAAGGAAGGAAGAAAAAGAAAGTGAGTCTTTCAATAGCAAAGACGTGGAATCAACCCAAATGCCCATCAACCATAGACCGAATAAAGAAAATGTGGTATGTATACACCATGGAACACCAAACCTTCCTACCAGCCGTAGGAAGGAATGAGATCATGTCCTTTGCAGAGACATGGATGAAGCTGGAAGCCATTATCCTCAGCAAACTAACACAGGAA